GGAATCCCCCAGTCTATTTCTGGTAAGATACTAACAACAGGAAGGTTTAATTGGCAGGGCAGGCAGAACCTATGATTTTAAACCAACCAGCTTGAAGCTTGCATCAAGACCCCCCCCCTTTTTTAAGGCAGGGTCTCCCTGTAGCCCCAGCTGTCTTGGAACTCATTATGTAGAAGAGGCTGGCCTTGAACCCACAGAGATCTGCCTGCCTCTGCCTCCCAAGTGCTGGGATGTCCATTTCTTTACTATAGCATAACTGACATTTAATTGGGCACACGAGGTCTTCTGGAATAAAGAGTATATTGTGTGGTTCCCTTGTAGCTTCATAAGGCCATGTGACCAGTCTGGTGAAAGAAAATTAAGTTCAAGTATTAGCTGCAATTTCTGTGAGGAAGTGTAGGGAGAAGGCATGCCCTCCTCTCCTGACACCCTATCCTTCTCCCCCACTGAATAAAACTTTGGTGGGTGACTCTTAAGCATGGTAAGGATGGTTTGGGGACTCTTGTTCTTTCATAATCATAAAACTTGCATTCTAGTCCTGATGCGAATCTCTAGACTTTTATGGATGAAAAGAATAAATTTTGATTTTCATTTATTTATTTTTGTATGTGGGTGTATTGGTGTAGGTATGGGGGTCCATGTGCACACTTAGATGTTGGCGTAGGTGTGGGGGTCCATGTACACACTTAGATGTTGGCGTAGGTGTGGGGGTCCATGTGCACACTTAGATGTTGGTGTAGGTGTGGGGGTCCATGTGCACACTTAGATGTTGGTGTAGGTGTGGGGGTACATGTGCACACTTAGATGTTGGTGTAGGTGTGGGGGTCCATGTGCACACTTAGATGTTGGTGTAGGTGTGGGGGTCCATGTGCACACTTAGATGTTGGTGTAGGTGTGAGGGTCCATGTACACACTAAGATGTTGGTGTAGGTGTGGGGGTACATGTGCACACTTAGATGTTGGTGTAGGTGTGGGGGTCCATGTGCACACTTAGATGTTGGTGTAGGTGTGAGGGTCCATGTACACACTAAGATGTTGGTGTAGGTGTGGGGGTACATGTGCACACTTAGATGTTGGTGTAGGTGTGGGTGTTCATGTGCACACTTACGTCAGAGGGCATCTGCTCTGCTCTTTTTTCACCATATGGGTCCCAGGGATTGAACCCAGGTTGCCAGGCTCGACGACAGGGAACCTTACATGCTGAACCATCTCCCTGACCCCAATTTGGATTTTTTATTAGATTGAGTCAAACTTAAAATTGGCTGATACAACTACATTAAATTCTCCTTTACTCTTCAGGAATATTTTACAGCAAATGATAGTGCTCTTCACCAACAATTCTAAGCAATAAAAAACATAGGGTTGGCGTTGGAGAGATTGGCGTCAGATCCCCCTGGAACTGGAGTTACAGATGGTTGTTAGCCATCATGTGGGTCCTGGGATTTGAACCTGGATCTTCTTCAAGAATAGCCAGTGCTTTCCAGTCCCATTTTGTCCCTATTCTGAAATAGAGTCTCATATGTCCCAGCCTGCTTGGGCTTACTATGTAGTCAAGGACCTTGAACTTCTGATTCTCCTGCTCTACCTCTCATGCGTTAGGATTGCAGGCCTGTGCCACCACACCTGGATTCATAGTTTTGTGTTTTAGTATTTTTTTCA